ATGCAGTCTGTCTTCGTGCCCCTTCGGTATGCGCCCCACGCCTAGGCCTTGGCCCCTGCCCTTCGCCCTTTCTTCGGATTGGATGGGTCCCTGACTACTGGGGGGCACAGTACCTTGTCGGAGCTGGTCCGGGCATTGAGGTCACGCTTGATGACTTGCCGAGTTGGATTTTCTCAGCGGTCTCCGGGGCTTGCGTCTCCTTCCCGCCTCTTCCGGGTTGCATTACCAAGGTCTTTTCTCCTCCTCCCTGTCCAGTGCGCGACATGCGCTGTCTGCGAGCATGGACTGTTTCTGCTCTGGGCGCTTTGTCGGCTCTCCTCTGCCTGGCTGGAAGAGGCATGCCTGTCTTGGCTCGCTTCCCCTGCTCTAGTATCGCTCTGTCGCCCTTGTCAGAGTGGCTTGAACAAGCAGCCGGTCACAGTGCTGAGTCAGGGGCCGGACCTTTCAGTTTCACCGTTGAATTCAGCTGTTTGTGTTTGCATTAGGCACGTCCCTTGGACTTTCCGCCATCCAGAAAGAAAGAAAGGCCCCTGTATTAGCTTTCTCTTAGCCGGACTAAACCCTAAACCCTGAACCCCAAAACTCTGAAACCCTAAACCCTGAACCCTGAACCCCTAAACTCTGAAACCCTAAGCCCTAAACCCTGAACCCCTGAACCCTATTCTGATTGTTAAGGCCACACGGCCACTACATTACTTTACCTTTAAGGCCATGAGGATAGTCATGTTCCAAATTTCTGGCTTCGACTATGCACCCAGAGACTCAACCACGTTTTAAATTGAGGAATACACCTTGAATCACCTTGGGGTTCAGGGTTTAGGATTTAGGATTTAGGGTTTTAGGGCTTAGGGCTTAGGGCTTTGGGTTTAGGGTTTAGGATTTAGGGTTTTAGGGTTTTAGGGTTTAGGGTTTAGGGCTTTGGGTTAAGGGCTTAGGGTTTAGGATTTAGGGTTTTAGGGTTCAGGGTTTAAAGTTTAAGGAAATTAGCGTTCCCACCATGAGGTCCCCAATATAGTACGGCACCCCTATAAACAGGACCCCAAAACGGACCCTATTGTAGAGAACTACCCAATTCCAGACCGAACAAATCGCAGCAGATGCCCTCTACCCCTATACTACTGTTGATGATAGAAACCCTGCATACCTTAAGGACCCTAAACTATGGGAATTCTGGATTCCGTACTATGGGTCATGCAGGTTTTATATCATCACCGTATGAATCCCTATCTGGTGTGTACATATATATTTTTTCTGAACCTTACACCCTTTTAGGGTTCATGTCGTC